CACATATATATATATATATATATATATATATATATATATATTTGTTTTCCTTTATATTATTATCTGATTGTGACAGAAATCCAATTTGAAATTGGATGCTATGAAGCAGAAATGGTGTAGGATCTCCTGCTTGGGCGGGGGGTTGGACTAGATGACCTACAAAATCCCTTCAAACTCTGTTAATCTGTTAAGCAGGTTCCAATGGCTGTGTGGTTTAGGTCCTTCTCAGATCCAGAGACATTCTGTCTTAGTTCTGTGTAGTGTTGCACTCTCCCAGACATAATTGGTCCACAATTTGGATCTTCGCTTGGACTTCAAGCTCCTGCTTGAGAAGGAGATACAATCAAAAAGAGTATTTGCATAACTTTATAAAAAAGAGTCTTTTGCATAAGCCAAAATAGTGTTTGTATAACTCTTCCCATTCCTTAGTTCAGGAGGTGATGCTCATGGTTATTCATGTTTTTGTCACCTTTCCCTTTAACTATTGCAATGTATTCTACCATCCTTGAAGATCATTTAGATTAGAATCTATGCTTGGTCCAGGATGCAGAATAGGCAGTTATGGTTGCATCCATATAAAATCAGAGCTGAATTGGCTTCGTATGGGTTTCCAGGTGTAACACAAGGTTCTGGTCACAACTTAGAAAATTCTTCATAGCACAGAATGAGAACAGCAGGAACTGCTTATCTGTGATTATATGTACCTCAATCATGACGTCTAACTGAGAAAGCATATATTGGGTTTCTTTATTAATCAAAATCTAATATCATCTAATGGACTCAGAAGGGATGCCTTTACTGATAAAGCATCTGCCCTTTGGAATAACATAGTCATCTTTTCTTTCACTCCCCAAGATTTAGATGGCCCTGTTTGTCTTAAATAAGACTTTAAAACTTGGTTTTTATCCACTGGATTATTGAATTCACTGGATGAAGATATTAGTAATCCCATCTACTTATTAATTTGTGTTGTTGAAGATTTGATCTCAATTTGTGCTGTTACTGCCATTTGATAGTATATTTGGTAGTACTGACATTTGGTAGCTGCAGGCCTGACAGTTACATGTTTTGTATTTAGGTTTTTGTGGAGTTTTTGAAGAGGTTATGAAGTTTTAATTTTATGTCAGCCACTAAGAGTTCTCCTGATTTGGACCTCCAATGCATCCAGATTTAAATGCAAAAAATACAGTAAAAAGCCTGGATGTCCAATCTTTTGCCTTGCCTGAGCCTCATTGAGTGAAAAGGAATTGTCTTGGGCCACATAAAATATATAATATAGTTGATAAACAACAAACTTCCTTTAAAAGTTTACAAACTTATGGGGCTGCGTTACTAACTGTTCAAGACTGCATGGGACTTGTGTACCATGGGTTGGACACTCCTGGAATAAAGTTAAGCCAATATAACTATAAACTATTCTCTCAACAATTCTGTCAACTATTATTCTAACCCAGGCATGTCAAACAGGCGGCCCTTGGGCCAGATATTGCCCATGCAGGCCACATCTACCCAGCCCCACAAGGGCAAAAACAATCCCGATAAGTCACATAATAGCCTGTGATGTGATTGGGTTTGATACTCCTGTATCTAGCCTAATGTTTAGATCTGTCTAAACTTTTGGCTAGAATAGCATTATACCATTAGAATAAATAGTCACATACTTTTTCTAATGGTATTTAAAGGTCCTCAACTGGATCCCGCTTTAAAAAAAATAATTTCGCGTCTAAGGCTTCAATGTTTCACTCTGATCTAGAAGTTCCATAAAACTCAGTGCAGTTTGCATCTCAGCGTACATGCGAAAAGATTGACCTGTAAGCGTTGCTTGACTGTGTTCAAACCCGAATGTACTTTGGCAACTGATTGTGTCCTTAATAAACAAAGCTGTACCATTTTAACTCATACATAAATTCCTGAAATAAAATGATGACGTTTTCAGATCACTGAACAATGTTTTGTCTGTGAGCCTGAATGAAAGTTCAGCATGTCTTTGTTTAAGAAACAGATAAAAAGGATGCCGATTGTCAGTGAAGTAAAATAGGAAGCACTTACAGATTCAGTCAAAAAAGGACAGTGATTTTTGCAAGAAGAATTCATTGTGATTTGAAGGTTGCAATTTTTCAGTAATATTTATGAAGATTAATTGCTTCTCTTTTTTACAAACTGTAGATTACCAAAGAATCAGACTGGTGCTGTGGGAATTGGGTCAATAACTATTGGTGTCTTCTTCATCCTGCCCAAATATTTTTTCCGCTTAAGGCAAAAGCCAAGATGGCACCATTTACAACCAGCTCTGTTTTCCAAATCAATGCCATTGTCTGCTCTCCTGTATTTGCTGCTTGAGATGGTTGCTTCATTGTGCCTAATGGTTGGGCCAGGTTGCCATGGATATTAATGAACAACTGATACAAAAGAAAAACAATTATATTGATTTAGAAAGACAGGAAGGGATAGCGTTTAAGGTGTGTTCTATGTTTTTAATCTCTAATTTGGAAGAGGGAGTAAAGAAATAATATATCCTCATTAATATTCAGTGAAAGAAAACTTATAACAGTTTTACCCAATTTTAGAGTTAATTAATAATGCAATTTTAAAACTTTTTTTCTTATTGGGCTGATTGTTTGAAAACTGTATTTAGATTAGTTGAGATATATACAGAAATTAATGGAAATAAAGCAGTATTACTGAATGGGAAAAATACATTTGCTTTTTAGATTATCACAAGTATATTATCAAATATAGTTTGCCATACTGAGCATTTTTTGTACAAAAGGAAGATGAAATCTTCTGTCATAATTTTTGCTCTCAGAAATCTGGGTTTTAGAAAGTATTTGCAGGCTAATTTGTTGAGGAAATTATTTAATTCCCAAGTCACTTCAGGAATAACAACTGAGCTTAGCCTCTGTCTTAAATACCAAGTTCTATAATCCTGAACAGGTTGGAAGAAGCTATTTTCCCTTTCCAATTAACTGTCAAACAATTGCAGATGTATACATATATTTTATGGTTTTATCTAAACTGTTAACCTTAGAAGCCATTTTATGTATGACAGTTAAACTAGGAACACATTCCCCCTCCCCTTTCTTTGTAGTATCGATCTTTCTCCATTTATAATTACTATTGATGGTAAAGAAATGTCTCTCCCCCTTTCAGAATCTCATGTAAGATCCTTTAAGATCTTGTTCTTTTGCTTGCAGGAGTGCGTTTGGATCGAGTGCGTGGAGGTCGCCAGAAGTATAAAAGAAGACTGGACTCTGAAAGTAGTACTTATCTGAGTTTGCAGATTTCCCCTCCAGCCAAAAAACCATGTAGGTGCCAGTTGCACACTCTCTTTATTTATGGATTTAACCTTCAATTTCCATTGATCTCCTTAACTTTTCATTGAGAGAATCAAATTCTCAATAATTTTAATTATACAGCAATTAAATAGCATGGCCTAAATAAGGTGATCCGAGGCTAGAGTATGCAAATCTAAAGCTAAATTGAATGCTATATAGAAAGCATTTCCACTGACACAACCAACATTTTCTTCCACCTTTTCTCAATTCTGTTTTTCATGGGATAGCAGCACAAATTTGGGAGATAGTCAGAATGGGAGGGCAGGGTTGATTCAAGAGTGGAGGCCATTCTGACAATAAAAATTGTGTTTGCATGATCATAGTTTATGAAAAATGGAAAATACGTATATAAATATAAGGAAGACACTATTAGTCATCAATGTCTTTAAGTTAAGGGATAATCAAAATAACATAGTCCAGTATCATATAATCAGTTCAGTACTCAAAGTTTGCTAG